GCGACTTAACAAGATAGCAGACAAGTCTGAACAACAACAAGAAAGAGCATAGCGACAAAAAAAAAAAATTACGCCGGGTCCAAAGGGATTTCAACAACAGGTTTACGGGGGCTTTCCACCCCAGCATGGTCGTCTTCCTCATTAACTTCATACTTTGCCTTCTTCGATGTGCTAGATGAAGCTTCTGACGAAATTTGCTCTTTATGACGAACTATAATACAAATTATTGCGTCGTCATGGTCATCAGGCACACCTGGTCCGTCGTATGGAAGCAACACACCTGAATTTTATAAGCACTATACAAGAAAGCAAAATAATAAAAATGTCCTAAAATGAATCGAAACTCACAAAGGATACGCACAAATAAATGAATAAAGAAATAAATATGTATATAAACTTATTTATTGGTCACAAATAATAAAAATAACAATAAATTTCCATAATCTTTTCCGTTTTACACCCCACAAGCCTTAAAAAAACGCTCCTTAAAATAACTCAAAATCCCCCCTATTTAGCACTGAGTAAAATAGTAATCAAAAGCGAAAGAGTTTTCCTAATAAACAGTGGGTCTTACTTGGCGTCCTCTCTCCGTTCGGTAATGCAATCAAATAACCGTCTTTGATCATTTTTTGTTCATTTAGTTTCAAAACGCTACACCTACTCTTTTTCAACATATCAGAAAAACATCTCATGAATTGTTCGTCCATATCTGGATTGTCTAAAATATATTTCAAAGTTTCAGCAAGGAGTTTAAGATGAAATGAAAAAGATTAAATTAACAGCAGAAGTACTGAAAAAATACAAAAAAAATAATGATGGCTATAGAAAACTTGCCTGGACGATCCAGTCTAAGTAAGATCACATCTTTTGTGCGTGCACTTCGCAGCTGTGAAACGTAATTGTACACTATGGAAGGAGGAATTCGTCCGATTATCTGAAGAACAGGAGGAAGCTCTTTCCTTAAGCAAAATGCTTTTTCGTTGCTTAAAGCTGTAAGCGTTGATGGAAAGTTAAAATACTGCCCCATTTTCAAAACTCCAGTCCACACAATATGTCGTTTCTCTCTGTAACTTAGTTTTTTCAGTAAATACAAACACATACTTATGATACGGTAAATTACGAGGTCAGTGAAATTTATTTCAAGCACACAGAAAAAAACGATATGTGCCCAAAAGAACCTAATACGTAAAAAATGAAGGTCACCTTTCCCAGGCGGTTAACGGCCGTTCACTTTCCTTAACCAATGAATCTACTGGTTCTATTTCTTTCCTAGGATCTTCCCTCCTTTCTTCTTGCCAAATCTTGTGCCTTCTTTGCCGAGCTAACTTTTTTGGCTCCTCTACGTCATTCCATTTTTCATTGTCAATACCATCCCAGCTTGCTAAAGCATGCGAAGCAGGAGAGTTTTCAAAATCCGCAACCCTCTCCTTTCGCCAAGAATCTCCAAAACCAACTTCGCTGAACTTCCATGGCTGACGCCAAGACTCTTCCTTGATTGCCTGCTCCTGACCAGAATTCCTTCCTTGCGAATTCCTCCACGAACCTTCTGCAACGGATCTTTTTGAACTTCATACTGGTATGATTTTAAAAAAGGAAAATACTTTTCAAAATACAACGTAAAACTAAAAATCAAACCTTCATTTAAAGTCTCTGGCTTGATTTCTTCTGGATTAAAAGGAGCAGCAGTATGAACGGTTTCACGCAAAACAGAACCCCCACTAAATTCACCGGCACTTTCCACCGCTGAAGCTGCCTGCGGTTTTGATGGTGAAGGAGAACATAAATCAGGGGTTAGAAGTCCGTTACTGTCCTACAAAAAAAAAATAAAAAATAAAAATAAAAAAAGAAGAATATATGAGATTAAAAGAACAATTTAAAAAACGACTTGAAGAAAAAAAATATAACTTGGAATTGATAAAACCACATCACAAAAACGGGAGCAGTTGTTCACGAATTAAAAGACGAACAAAAGAGGAAATACCTTCTTTTTACTGCCTCCTCGCTCTTTGTCCGCCGCACGTCTTCTACGCTCTTGATTACTTCGTTCTTTCTTTCCAGTACATATATCGCAGTTCAGGTCGTAAAGATGATTTTTGTGACTTTCAGTCGTGTTTTTAGATTCCACTCCAAGAATTTTATCAATTTCGCTGGCCGTCTGCAAATGGTTATACTTATTTCAGATGAAACTCCCGTCTAAAATTACAGAGTGGAATTTTCAATTAAAACTAGAAAAAAAGACCCCAAAATATCCCATAAACCGAGTCACGGTGAACAGTATGAAAAAAGAAAAATCAAATAAGGAAGATACCAAGGAGATCAAGATTTAAATAATACCGCCTAGAAAACCTGAAGAAAGAAACTGATCTATAACACAAGATAAATCAGTAAGAGTAAAAGAAGAATGGAAAGTAAAGCAATGCAACACAAACCTCTTTCAGTGATCTCTTCCTCAAGCCACTACACGTATCTTGTTTCAAGGCCAAACTGATGTTACTCACATTGTCTAAAAAAAAAAATTGTATTGAGTTCCTGGAAAAAAGCACACAGTCAAACGCAATTAATAATTCTTGAACAGATCGATTTTTATTTGAAAAAAACATACAAAAATTCAACACACTGATTTACGCGAAAGTGACTAGAATCCTTTCCTCCGCATAAAAAAAAGCGATAAAAACAAACCATTTCGCGGTTCTTCTTCCGTTCTGGTTTTCCGTTTTGCAAATGCTACATCAAATTCCACTCCTTCACTTGTCCCGCACTTGTCCTCATTATTTTTTCTTAACAATTTTCTGCATTCGGGGATTTCAATAGGATCGGAAAAGCGAGACTCTTTTAACGAAGATGGATCCAAAGAAACTAATTTTTGAATAGAAACTTCTCCCAATATAACTCGCAAATAAAAGCCCTAAATAAATCGTAAAAAAATCAGGAAGACCTTCTTGCTCGTTCAACTTAGCACTATGCGTAAACAATAGCCAGTAAAGTCACCAGGTTTGAGACTGACTAAGAGTAAGTTGATTTTCACCTTATTATTTTTGGCCGTTACATTAGTTATAAATTGTTTGAACCACGCTCGATATTTTCCTGCAACAGCTCGTTTGCATTCTCTGAATAAGTGCTCTTCAATTCGTTGGGCAAGACTTTTGATTTCCGTCTTCGTAAAAACAAAGTCAGGTGTTTTCTTTGCCCTGAAAGTTCCTTTCAACAAGAGTGAAGGAAATTTCTGTTCTTAAAAAAGTTCTAGAAAAAAAAACTGTTAAACTGGAAGCACTAAAAGATTAAAACACCTTTCAATCAGTTTTTCTGCAATCGCTCTGCGAACTTGAAAACGCTTCTGATCAATCTCCTTTGTAAGTACCTTATCAGTCCTAATTTCTACATCTACCTGTTTCATGGTTTTCACTGTCGGTTCTGAAACCAATAAGCATTAGCAAACAACAGCACTTGTCAGACCTGAAATTCCTATTAAAAAATCCGAAAGGAACTTTTCTAATAATTTTTACTCTCAACGCTCGGAAGATGCAATTCTTTTGCCACGGGCAAAACGGGGGTAAATTCAGAGTGAGTAATTAGAAAGTCGAAAAGAGTTTGAGAGGTAGGTGCCGCAGGTCCATGAAGCATCAAACCCGATTTCCCTAATACCATGATCCTAGAGTCTCCATCTGTCACAGCCTAAGAGTTAAAACTTTTTTACATTACACAGTGAAGTAAACTGAAAAACAACTGATCAATTAATAATGTTAACTTCAAAAACTCGACATTAAATTGCTGGCAATCTCTTGAAATAAATCAACAAAGCAAGATATATACAGTACAGCAACATCCAAAAAGTGGCTTCACGATACGCGAAAGTAAGAATAAATATGAAGATAAAAAGAGTAAGATCTTGCCTTCCTTGCCAATTCTACTTGTTCTTGGACGCATTTACGAGAGCAGTATGCCGACTGCGGACCCAAAGACTGAAAACGAAATGAATTCGCAAAGACACGAAAAAAAGTGTATAAAGACGTTCAAAATATTAGCTTGCCAAAGTGACTCATTCTAATACTTAGCAATATGAGATTGTGACACTCTTTTAGCAGTTTATCCTTCTCAGCTTCTACTTGTTCTAGATGAAAATGAAAGATAAAAAAAAGAAACTGTAAAGTCGTCTTACGTGTTAAAACTCACTTCAAGCCACTCCTCAACGCAATCGCTGAGTTTACGATGGCAAACAAAGCATTCACGACTGACATTCAACCGCTTTGGTTCTTTACGAGGAGTGCTGGGCAAGCTTAGATCTGGTGATTTTTCATGACTTTTTGAACTATCTTCTAGCACCAAACTATCTACTATACTGTCCTCTCCAAAACTTAGTCTTCCAATATCACTGACGTCGTCTGTGAGAAAAAATAACTTCCAGATGCAAAGTTCGGAAAGAAAGTCACAGAAAAAATAAACATAAAAAAAAGAAAAACACTAGATGTTGCTTAAAAAAATTTGTCATTATAAAATCAAAGTATCAGCAATTATCAACGATTTTCTCAAAAAAATACAACTTATTTTCTGATGATGGTAGATTAAGTCAAGAAAAAAAGATATTTAAGTTATTCTTCAATAAACAGCATTTAAAGTGCATCATAGAACAAGTTTACTGAAACAAAATAAACATATCAATAAATTAACGAACAAAAACACAACTACTTTTTCACAGTGCCTCATTGTGTCAAAAAATAACATGATTCTCCTACAAATGAGCTCAGTATTAAAAATTACGATACCAAGTTATTATGAAAAAATTTATACCAGTGAATTCCGAGGGCCTTTCGGGAGGAGACTGTTTAGAATTACCTTCGCTCGCAGACTCAACAGTGCTTTCATTTTGCACAGCTTCTTCACCTTCAGCGACTGAGGTTTTGTGCGGCTGATAATCCAATATTTCTTGTTCGCTCAAGCTAAAAAAACCAGAGCGCATCGGTCCAGAAAAGCAATAAATCGAGCTTAAATATGACAGAAGAATATCACTTACCATTTTATATAGACCCTAAAAGGCTTTAAGCCAAACAGCTTCTCTAACTCCTCGACACTTTTATTTTTTACAGAAATCAGAGCTCCAGATTCAACCGACAGTCCCTAAATACTAAAAAATTAGCAAAGACCTGATGATATAAGTTGAATGACTCAAGGCATTAACAAACAAATCTTCCTGCTGAAAAAAATGAATCAACTAAAAAACTGGAAATGTAAAAACAAGAAATAATTGAATACAAAATTTTACCAAAAACATGAATTTATACCTTTCCTGGAATACTCTCCTTTGTGACTTCTACACTGTCATTACCCAAACCATTTACACTGAGATTTGAGAGCGAACACTCTTGGCTTTCCTCAAGGACTTCTGCAATGTCATTACCTCGTCCAAATTCTTCCAAATTCGTCGCCTGCAATTTCCTATTTGAATACTTGACGTGATTTCCCAGTATCATAACTTATAATAGTTTCTCAAAAAGCTAATCTTGTCATTACGACATTCACAATTCTGATAAAAAAAGGTCCTGCTAAGAAAAATGCCTCTAAGACACACAGGTGAACAAAATACGTTAATCTGCAAAATCGCTTAATGCTTCGAAATCAAAGATATGCTATAATTTATGAGAAAATTAAGCTTTTTGGAATTACAACAAACACTTAAAACAAGCTTGAACCAAAATGCTCGAAAGAAAGATACAAAAACGATGGTTATAAAGTTGGAGGTAGAACCCACTTTCACAAAGTCAAACAATTCAGGTTTATTATCTGTTTTCAACAAACTTTTCGCACAAATTTTAGTTCTCTTATCCTTGCTGGTAGAAGGTATAGAACAAACTGAATTCTGGCCACCACCATGCTTTTTCTTCTTCACTGCCTTTCTCCTTGAAAGCAAAACAGTAAAAGACGGCAACTCCACAAAATAGATAATAGATATCAAGAAAAAAAACAAACTCGAGGAATTCTTTTATATTTGCATTAACTAGTTCTGTTGCCTTTTTCACCACATTAATGTCAATGCGCAAAAGGTCTTCAAATCTCATACTCCTGAAAAACAGTGCAATCAAATACAAGAAAAACGTTAGAGAAAAACTTTTTCATTGATGCAGTGTACCAATCTCTTTCGTGAATGCGCATCTGCGTTTCATTAACATACCGATGTTGCGGGAAAACTGCAGTATACCTCCGTAGAACCTTTTTTTTCGGATATTTACCGTTTTCTTTTACTGAGTATTCCTTTTCAGGAACAGTACTCTTATCCCCTTGCGAATGGTTAGAACTGAAAGAATAGTCTAAATGATACAAGTAAATCTGGTTAATAATTAAATGAACGAAATAACTAAGAAACAAAAACTGATTATTTACGGACCATTCACCACTACTGTAGAAGTTCCAATACATTTTCTGCTCAAAGCAAAAATTACTGTAAATTAATTACAGCGAAAAAACCAGCAATAACGACAGTAACTCCCCAAAATATAAAATAGCTCCAAATTCAGAGGACAACTAAGCCCACTTAACTCTAGCTTTCTTATCAAATCATCAAATTTCAAAAACTAGTTTCGTAACTTTCAAATTCAACTTACAAGAATTTTTTAGATGGTGGCGACTGAATCGCTTTACCCGCTATATCACCGTTACTTTGAGATCTGAAACTAGGTTAAAATGTTAGCAAAAAAAAAATGATTAGTGTACAACGAAATATGGCATGAAATCAAATTTAAAACATTGCCTTTTTCTCGTTTTCTGCTGCGGATTGCAGTCCCCACCATCAGTAGGGTTGAGCAGTACTGTAAAAAAAAAAAAAAAAAAATAAAATTTACAAAATTATAACTAAATATATAGCATGGAAGCATGAAAATATAAGATATTTGTGATGAAAATTGATCATGGTTATTTAGAGCTGAAGTAGCAAGAACCGATCTAAACCAAATTGGGTCAAATAGAGCAAAATAAAAACTCACAAAACTTTTGTGATTCAAAGAAATATGCAACAAGTTCAAAGAATCCCCGATAAACGAATACAAGAACGAAACAACTGGTAAGAAAGGATGAGGAAGGTGACACACGATAAAAAACAGAAAAAATATTCGATAAAAAGTTATCCCACACAAACTATTATTTCCACTTATTCAAATTAGTTTTTACAAAAGGACAACTTACCCTTACCGCAGCCAACGTTATCACCAACAGATTTAACCAAAACAGGCAATTCTTCCTAAACCACAAGCAGGTGACATAAAAAGCTGAGAAACGGAAAAACTTTGAACAGCAGTATTCTTTGGATACAGCAAACCAATAAATTTTGTTTTTTTACTTTAATTAAAAAGTTTGAATTTAGCTTGGAAGGCCTACAGCAATCCTGATTATGTAAACTTATCAATTCCATACCAGACATAATAGCATTACATGTCGCAAGCATGAAAAAAAAAACGAACTTTTATGTAAGTCTTAACGTTGCCACTCGATATTCCGCGACTTGCTGTGTCTTCTAAATCAGAGCCGACAGTAGCACTTAATTGAGTACCTTCACTAGAATTTTCATGCATATTAGACTGCAGGAAACAACCTCCATTCATCTGAATTAATAAATAACAAGAAATCAAAATGTCAGTAAAATACAAAAAAAATAACAAAGAAAAAAATGAAAAAAACAAGATTTAAAAAAAAGGATTAAAACAAGAAAAAAATGACAATACCAAATCTGCAGGTTTTTCAGACTGACCATCCATAAATCGAAATGTATGAACTAAGTTCTAACGACATGCGCTTTTCTCCGCATAAACTATGCACCAAAATAAAAATCCTAAATTTTACACAAGCCTTTTTCCAACAAAAAAAAAGAAAACAAAAAAATATGCTATTCAGATTCAGCGAGTTTTACAGTTACAAAAGAGCAAGAAAAACATCGTACAAATGAGATAAAATTCTCTACAGAGTACAGAATACAAAACGTCATCTCTTTATGAAATTCATTTGCAATACAAATAAAATAGCCAAGAGTCTTAAATTCACAGCTGCACAAAATTCATTTGAGAAGTTCCAATAAAAGAAAAAAAAAATACTGAAAATAAAATAAAACAACTGGTAACCAAATGAGAGGTGAGGGAAAAATGAGGGGAGAGGGCGGGGGCTAAAAACAACAGCAACAACGTTACGTAAGAAACTAAGATGAAAATCACCAGAAGTTTTTTTTTTT